GAGAGAGAGAGAGAGAGAGAGAGAGAGCACTTTAATAAAAAATATTGCTATCAATTCAATTGCATTGTAATAACGATTGGTTCGCTTAACTAATAAAATATGAATTTATAATAAATAATTCATAAAACGAAACAATACTTAAAATGAAAACAAAATCAGTAATTCATCGGTAGATATGAGATATTGAGATACAATAACATTATTTTTGAGAATTATATAATATTATTAGGAAAAGAAGAAAAGATGAATATAATAAATGTTTGCATACTTTTCGGTTAATGACTTTTAGTGTGTTTCTCCCATTCATACGCTAATGATATTCAATATAAGAATATTCTTATATTTCCGGTTCAGACGATTATCTATACAAATGCGAGAGAGAGAGAGAGAGAGAGAGAGAGAGAGAGAGAGAGACTTTGATTTTCATTAAGTCTTTCCTGGAGGCAAATGAAAGGAAAATTTGCAATTTCTTATTGACTCCACTATTGACTAAATATGTGGGAAAAACTCATTTCATTGACGATAATATATAATATACTGTTTATAAGATATCAATATATTTTATATTAAATACTTTCTGTCGTTATAATAAAGAATAAACTAAAAAGTATAATTTTATTTTTTTAAAAGTGCAACAAATTTATTAAGCGTTAAATTATTAGCCCATTATTACTGCTATAAAATTTATATTAAATATAATATATAACTTTTTTGCCATTAATAGACAGCGAGACAAAAAAATTGTAAGAAATCAATAGAAAAATATGCGAAAAATCAATTGTTATGATAAATATTCGTGTGATTTGTTTGTATAATATATTCAAAGTAGTAATCGATTGAATGAAAAGCTTATTATTAACAGACATTAAGTGAATAAATAAATATTGTTTTCATTCAAATCGATATTTTGATGGATTATATACTGGCAGTGCATTCGTCTCACAGAATATCCACACTTTTATAATGCAATTCTTAGCAATCAATTCAATATCTCAAACATACATCAAAAATATTCTTGCGTTCACTTAGTTGTCCATCGAGTCCACAGATGGTGAGCCCACACATGAGCCCAACCATCATCTCATGGCAAGCATACTTGTATATTCACAAAAGTGATCTATCACACTTATTTATCATTATTTCCCACCCCAAATTATTTAATATATAATGATAAATTTAATATTTTCTAATGCAACATTTTATGCACGTAATCTATCATGCACAATTGGCAAATATCTGACCGAACATCCCAAATGAGCATGCTAGTTTTTGCAACTAATTGAACATGTTCATTCAGAATAGACGTTATTTACGGACACAAAATATTCCAAAAATGTTTATATCGTTCAAAAAACACAAACAAAATAAACAAAAAAAGTATGAAAAGTATGTATCAATCAATTGAATTGTGGTTAAAATTAAGCCAATATTAGCGCAAAACATGTGACAAATACATGATATGAACGCATGTTATGCCGAAAAATGTGTGAAATCTATGACAATATAAGCGGTGATTGACTCGACTGTATATAATGGCAACTCATGCCAAGTCTCGGCTCAAAATGTTTAAAACTTTTTATTGCATTTTAATATTAATTGTATTTTTATTACTATTTGTAACCATTTTATCGCATTATTATCTCAATTCATTGAATTCGTTGCAAACATTCAATTCATTACTTAATGATAATAACGATAACAATAATGGTTTGCATTTAAGTCACGACAAGAGAGACCACGAGTTCGCAGATAATAAGCAAACGATTGCCGAAAATGGGCTCCAATTTGAAGACAAGATTACGCTTGAAATCAAAGGTGAAAAGCATTTCATATTTCATACACTAATTGTATATTCAATACAAGAATATTCTGTAAATTAAACCATATTTTGAAAATTATTTTCATAAATATCGCCGCTTTTCGCAGAATATTCTGTATATTAATGAATGACTGAATTAATGGCTAATATTTTTTTTTGCTGTCATTTGTGTCGACAGCGACTGATTTGGAGGAAAGAGTGAAAGAGTTGCTGACAATCAGGTCTTCGGTTCGCAACGAATTGAGACAATTGGAGTCCAGAAGACGGGATCTCTTGCAGGAGATCTCGGAATTCAATAACAAATTAGAGCTCTTGAAGTCACAGTTGGCGAAGAAGACCACAGATTTGGAGAGAATTCAGTTGTCTTTAGAGCAAACGAAATACGCCCAGAAGGAGGTCCTCTTGAAGTCGAACGCGCTGTTGGAAACAAATTAGAGCTCTTGAAGTCACAGTTGGCGAAGAAGACCACAGATTTGGAGAGAATTCAGTTGTCTTTAGAGCAAACGAAATACGCCCAGAAGGAGGTCCTCTTGAAGTCGAACGCGCTGTTGGCGCCGCCTCTTCAGCTCCTGCCGTCGTTACCACAAACCAGTGGTAAAGACAATGATATAAAATGAATTGTTATTTTTAAAACATATATTAATGACACGAATCTATTAAACAGATGTGAAGAGCGGTAATGAAGTAAACTCTGGAACCGTTTCGGACAGACCGTGGAAGAGGCGGAAGAATGTCTACGAATTGTGTCGAATGCATAACTGTTTTGATTACTCGCGATGTTCTCTATTCTCGCCATTCCTGCTATACTTCTATCACCCGGAGGTCGAGGACATCGACGACACCAAAGAGTCTGATATAAGACAAGAGCGCAAACTTATGGACGAGTTTCAGAGACTCCGGTCACAGATTGTGGACTCGTTTAATAGTAATCTTCACATCACATTTGATCCGACCGTTGCGTGCGTTTATGTGGCCATCCTTTTGAAGGACAAGAATAATGTTATGACAAAAGACTATTTGAATTCATATCTCAATTCATTGTCTTATTGGGCGGGTATTGAACACTCATTTGTGTCCGCGTTTGCCATTCAGTACTTAATTATCATTGACTTTACTTTCAGGCGATGGACGCAATCATCTCATAATAAATATGTTTCGAGACATTGATTTGCAGACAATCGACGGCTTAGACCTAAAGAAAGCCATTTTAGTACAAACAAACTTCAAGATTAATAACTTCAGACCCGGTTATGACATAATTTTGCCACAAATACACGAAAGTAATTATTTGAGTGCCGAGGGTTTGGTCGACAATAATGTCCGCTTATGTCCCGCACGACGCAAGTATTTGGCCTCTTATTTGGGACCAATTGATAGCAATAATAATATTCAAAATCAAATTAAGACAACACTTTTGAAATTATCTTCGCATTTATCCAATAATAATGAACTGCTTTTTGATTTCGTTTGCGACGAAAAGACCAGACGTTTGTGTGATAATCAGACTCTCGTCTTAAGACAATCAACATTTGCGCTAATTTTGCCCCCAATTGATTCCGAAGTGATATTTAACACTAATATGTCTTTGAGTCTCATTAATATTCTGTCTTCAGGTATGATATTCTGTCACAAAAAAAACTGCAAATCTTATAATCAAATCTCAATAATTGATGAATTATAGGCTCAATCCCTGTCGTGATTGGCGGCGACTATCTTCGGCTGCCATTTGACGAAGTGATTGACTGGCGTTTGGCGGCCATTCGTCTACCGATCGCCCGAATCACTGAATTACACTTCTTGTTGCGCTCGTATTCAGACGCAGACATTCTTGAGCTCAGACGCAATGGACAGCTATTTCTTGGCAGACATTTATCATCGATCGACGCCATTATTGACTCGATTCTGGCGCTCGTAAGACAATCACGTCTACAGATCCCATCGGCCGGCGCTCACGACGAACCGTCACTCAGTTTGTTTAACGCCACGAATCCGATGAAGTTCTTCGACGCCACCTCTGGTCTGGTTCTCGTCGACACCAACGCCGAGAACGAAGAGAGTTTGGGACCAATTGAGCCCCCGTTCGCCTCCCCTTCATATCAGCGCAACTATTCGTTAGTCATTACAAACGGATACAAACTCTGGAATGACTATCGTTTCGATCCGTTCACTACATATCCGGCGCTGCCTTTCGATCCGATCCTCTCATCGGACGCCAAATTCATTGGCTCTTCGTATGGCTTTAGGCCTATCGGCGGCGGAACCGGCGGTGCGGGCAAAGAGTTCAGCGAAGCGTTGGGCGGAAATGTACCCAAAGAACAGTTCACTATTGTTATGCTTACCTACGAAAGGGAAGCCATTCTCATAGACTCTTTACAGAGATTAAAAGTAAGTACAGTATAAACTGTTTGTGGAAATTGTTACACGCAGTAATTTACATGGATGTCATTTCACAGGGTTTACCGCATTTAAACAAGATTCTAGTCATCTGGAACTCGGCTCGTCCGCCCTCTCCCGACCTGCGTTGGCCCGAATTGGGTGCACCCATACATGTAATCCGAGCCAAACATAATTCGCTGAACAATCGGTTCCTGCCGTTCGCCGACATCGAGACCGACGCCATACTATCGATGGACGACGACGCGCACCTCAGACACGACGAGATCATCTTTGGCTTCAGGTATTCAATTGATTATAGTTTTAATTTAATAATATTTTAAATACTTATTTCATATCCGGAACCGATAGGGTTTGGCGCGAGGCTCGCGACCGAATTGTGGGCTTTCCGGGCCGTTATCACGCATGGGATGAGCCCTTCTCCTCCTTTCTCTACAATTCAAACTATTCGTGCGAATTATCAATGGTTTTGACCGGCGCTGCGTTTTTTCACAAAGTAATGCAATCAATTGGGTTTAGATTTTTAAATTAAAGCCTAATGTTGTAAATGTTTGAAATAGTATTACAGCTATTTATACACGTATTCGATGCCAAAAGCAATTCGTGATAAAATTGATGATTACATGAACTGCGAGGACATAGCCATGAATTTTCTGGTCTCACACATCTCACGGCAGCCGCCGATTAAAGTGACCTCTCGTTGGACTTTCCGGTCAGTGATTTCGGCGAACAAACTCTTGACTTAAATGTTTATAATTTTGTAATTGATTTGTTTTGTGTGAACAGATGTCCCGGTTGTCCGATAAGTCTGTCTGAAGACGACTCGCACTTTAATGAACGCCATAAGTGTATCAACTATTTTGTCCAGATTTACGGTTATATGCCTTTACTTAATACTCAGTTCAGAGCCGATTCTGTGCTCTTCAAGACCCGTATTCCTCACGACAAACAAAAATGCTTTAAATTTATTTAAAACTCAACTTTTTTAAAATTTTATTATACATTTAGAGAGAAATAGTAGTCATAATTGAATTATTTATTAATTTTTTATTTTTATTCCTAATGTAAATAATTATATTTATAATTTAAGACCAAATTTATTGCCAAAACTATTATTTATTCTAATCATTGAGAGAATCATAAAAGTAATAGTTATTACAATTTTAATCATAATATAATAAATTAATAAAATACTAATAAATTATAAGTAATAATTGAACCCAACATTGTCCTCATATTTTCAGTTCACATCAACTGAGGAGAGAGAGATGTGTTTACTTTCAAGTCTTAATGTGTTTTAAAATAGACTGACCTTAAAGCTGGAGAGAGAGGGGGAGAGAGAGGGAGGGAGAGAGGGAGGGAGAGAGAGAGAGCCAAAAATGCATTAAAATTCATTTCTGATTAGTTTACGAGTGAAACAAGACTTAAAAAATTACTGGTTTTACAGTTAAGTAAATTAATTGATATGAAAAGTGTATGATATTTAGCCCACAATTGCAGCCATAATATAGAGGGAAATGTATAGTAAAAGCCGGTCATCACTACGAAAGCCGGTATTTGTTGGCCTCAATCGGGAGAAAGTTTTTCCAGTTATTCAGAGCTATAATTAGCACACATTGCGTAACAATCCTATTGAAAGTCAAACAACTCTCACAACACAACCAATTCTTACATACAATTCATATACTGTTTAACATTAAGCAAAGCATTTAACAAACCCTTCACTCACATCATCACCACTAATACATCCATCGGATAATCAAAACGGAAACTATTTTGCACCACATATTACCACAAAATTGTTCACTATATAGGAGTTCATTAAAAACTGCACAAAAATTACATAAACCATAGGAATTAAGTGATAACGTGGGCCAACCCTATGCAACCCTATCGGGCATTAATGGTAACGTTATATGAGGTTTGCATTGAATGTTATGCTTATAATAGAGAGTAAAATGTATTAAAAGGACTGCAAAAAAGTTTTGACGAAATGATTGCATAAATGGCGACACATTTGCTATTGATTTCAATTTGAAACATGCATTTCATCCACACATCCAGTCATACAATCAGACCAGCGCTCAACTGATCGCCGCAACAACTGTCACGACCAGCGGTTCCCACACAACACACCCCAAGACATCGTCGCACGCATTGACACAAACCAATAGACGCCTCAAGACATCCCATTGTTGTCAATACTCTTCAAATCAATACCGACTCTACAACTGATCCAGTCTTCTGATTGACACATCCATCTCGAGGTCGACACATATATACACACATTCGAGAGACGCATCCAGTGGTGATGTCTTTGAAGCCAAAGCACGTGGAGTTCGAGCCGACGTGGAATCAGATCCGCTCGACTGTCGAGAAAGTGATTGTCTTAAAGCACGTCCACAGAAGCGAATGGAATGACCGCTTCCCAGACTTGTATCAGCTCTGTGTCGCCTTTCCCGGTATGTGTCTTCGCCCCAACCCATCCATTGTCTTGACGCCACTCTTCGTGGCCATCCATTTATTGATGACATTTAGTCTTATGTTTGTGTCATTTATTTGCCATCAGAACCATTGGGTGATCGCGTATATCAGGAGACGAAGACATTTCTGGACCAACACGTGAAACAGCTCTACCAATCGGTGGTGAAGTCGTCGCACGAGAGCCTGTTGTCCGCATACCATCAACAGTGGCTTATATACCGCGAAGGTTTGTCCAGACATTTGATTGTATGCGTTAATGGGAACCGTTGTCTCTTTTGGTCCAAACAGGTGTCACTTATATGAATATACTTTACATGTATTTAAATACACAACACATTAAGAAACACAAGTACTCGGAGGCGGACCTCTCGTACGGATGCGTTGACTCGAGTGAACAGATGCTTGAGATCGGAGAACTGGGTCTTCACCTGTGGAAAGTGAATATGATTGAACCCCTCAAAGACAGTTTGGTTGCGCTACTACTCGAGGCCATCGAGGCGTATGTTGAGATCACAAACAGCGCATATGTCTTATTGTGTTGACAATTGTCTTCTTATTTTGTATCAGTGATCGCATGGGTTTATCGCAGAACAAGTCTGTAGTTCAGGGCGTTATCCTATCGCTGGTTCACGTGGAGGAGTACAAGAAGAAGGGTTCGCTCGACTTATACCAGAATCTGTTTGAGA